TAGGGTCCTAGAAGGATCGTCTCTTTGACAACTGCCTCCTTCTGCCCGTATCCCGTTTCAGAGTTCCAACGGTACCCAAAATAAGGGAATTCAACCCTTCAAAATTCGTCCATCCGTCCTCAAAAACCGAAGCTGTTAACGGTCGTGGGACCCCTTGCCTAGGGGAGTCCTTCTCCTCCGAAACTGCCTTTGAGGTCCTCTTCTGGAGGACTTTTCCAGGTGACACCTCTCCATTGACCTGCCCAGCAAGGGAGACCCTTCCAGCAGCTACGCTAGCCCTCAGTCATTGAGTAACTTGAGCCCTATGACCAGCGTCAAGGTCATGCACTCCCTAGTGGGGCTTTTGTTCCCAGCTGCCACACAAAGCAAGAAAGCCGCCGATCGAAATCAGTTTAGGGAAGTCAGTCTGGTATTGCTGTATTTTGCTAGTTCATTTTCGATTATCGACATACTAACACGAAACTCATGTAAAACAAAGAATAACGCGAAAACTACAAAATTGTACCTTTACGTGTCGTTCCCATAGCACTAAATTCTGCCCTGATTTTAAAGCGACCAGTTGGTTTTTAATTTTTAAATGCTTCTAGCGACTTTCTATTGGATTTTTGGTGGTATATCCATAAACCATTCGATTACGTCTTGCGAATTATGTATTACCTTCAATTCTCATAAATAAAGTTAATGAAGGAGACTTCCAGGTGGTTAAAGAAGAAACTACGAGGGGTCTCTGACACTTCAAGTCGAAGAGGCTTTTATTCACAAATTTAAAATTTTGACCGATAAAACTTTCATTGTTGATGGTTATTATGGTAACCATCATACTACAACGGGGAAGATGCAATGGGTCTCTGCTTTGTAATTATTACAGCTTTCTAACCTCATTTCCAATAATTCAATCATTCAAAAAATTTCTTCTTCCAGCAGAAATTTCCCATGACGTTTAGTTTCAAAAATGGAAATGATTGTCGTTTAAGATTCCTTTCATTTTCTTGTGGTGCTCAGACACATTTTAATGATCTCTCTATCTGGCAAAAGTAGAAACTGTACTGGATCATAAAGTTGTGATTTAAAATAACTAATAATTAACCCCTTTACTGTTTCACCCCACACTTGAGGGAGTCAAAATCTGTAAACTAAAAACAATTTATTTCAATACGCCTAGTTACACGCCTACAGTACAAATTTATAAATTTTGTATGAATTCACGAAGTCGCCCCTGTACAGGAAACCAAAATATTATCATATTGATTTGGGAATCTGGCACTTTGTTCATTCTCCTATCATTGGGTTTATATTTTCTGCAACTATATTGACTCAATTTTTAACAATGCCATCAATATGAGCAGGCGAGTTCTGCATTCTGCCTTATATACACTAGATTTCTATAGTACCAAAACGTAACATGACAAAATGTACCCCTCAAAAACCAAAAACTTATCTTGAAAACAAATAAACAAATTCAATAACACTCACTCATTCATACATATTAAACTGCATTTATTCATGCTACGGTACTAGTTTTGAAAAAGAAATTAACTCTGATGGCCATTACTAAGAATTACTTAGTTCGTTACAATCTTGGCCTTGTTATAAGATTGTTGCAAAATTACATCACCTCCATGGTTGCTGGACCCCGTAAAATGGCGCCGTCTCCGCTGCTGCGATTGACCTTCTCGTCGCGGGTACCATCTTTTCTTTTCTTCAAACTGCAAACTGACACACTCACGGACTATGTTCCTCACTATGCAACACCGCTCTGTGACATCCTACCACTTTCCAACCAACTTTTACATGAAACTCACCTTTTTTCTTCTGCTACGGTGGCAGCACTAGCAGATCGCCAACCCGGCAGTCCGTCTGCATTGTTCTACACCTCACTCCTCACCGCGCAGTTTTGGAAACAAAGGGCAGCTCTTCTCTTCTGTCAAACTCGCTGTACATTTTTATATTCCAATTTTATCCGTTCTTTGGTTCCCACAATTTCTTCATTGTAAAACTTTCTAATTGAACTTCAAATGATAAATTTACTTACCCTTCCACTTTTACAAATTCCTAATATTTTCTTGTCTAAACGTTTGTGTAATCGCCCATTTCTTATATCCTTCACTTGTATTTTCCAAGCACTCAAACATTCATTCATTTAATAAAAAATTTTCATTATTATATAATAACCCAGAATTCGAGTGACTGAATCCTTCATAAACGGTTCTTTATTTATTTATTCTTCCCAGATCTACTACTAGCATAGTTCCTTGAATATTTTTTAGAAATAAACACTTGTACTTCTACACTTGTTCCTTCGACTGTTTCTCTTTTTATTAAATATGTCACTTTTTAGTTTTCTCATTGCACCATTTTAGTAATCGTTGTGACGCGTCCGAATGGTCAGTCACAAAACAGAGGAAGAAGAACTTACTCGAGTAGAATCAGCTAATTTTTTTATATTCATCGAATTAGTAAATTAGTCAGAAGATGCATCCATTTATTGCCTATCTACCGGGGAACAAGGATATTCCAGTTAATGCACATCACTACTACATTTTAGCCCCAACTGGTTTAACTACTTGTTGAAACCAGTGTCAGTCAAATCTATGTAGTTTTCCCTAACACAATTGAATAATTCTAATTCTCATGTTAGCAGTTTTCATTAGAGATATTTTTAAAATTATTGTTTACCATTTTGTAAAAATTGCGCTTTTGTAATTTTGTACAGTTTTAAAATAAATTAGAAGGAAAAATGTATGTTCTAGATTATTTTCCCCAAAAGGGTATCTCGTAAAAGATATTTCTGATATCTTAATTTAAAACTACTTTCATTTGAATAAGGTTGTTATAGTGTATCTACAGAATAATTTTTGTCTACACACCAGTCCTCTAGATTCTAAAAACGTTTACAATGAGTTATGAGTCTAAAATAGGCGAAATTGAATTTATAAAACATATCCAAAGTTGCCTTTCGAAAGCTCGTTTCTTCAATAGGCTTATCGGAATATTACTCAGTATCTAACGTTGATGACATTGCTAATAATTTCATTAATAATAATTTCCTGACAAAAAAGGAAAGGTGTATGTCTTGTCCTACAAAGTTGGCTATTTCGGGTTGTAGATTGTGCGTTTTCGTCACAGTACTTGGAAACTCAACGTTATCGTAAGTTGGCAAAGATGAAAGACAAAAATCGAATTCGCCTAGCACAAGAAGTGACTGATGAATTGCTGATGACACCGAGAGCGGTGACATGTACGATTAGAAACGGATCACAAGCTCCGTTGCGTAGAGCGAACCTTTCCTAGTTTCGAAAGACTACAAGAAATTCTCCAAATAAGATATTTTCAAGAAAATATTTAAGACGTTGAAAAATTGTTTTTAAATGTTATGCTTTGCTCAAGGTCAGGCGGTAAATCATTGAGTAAAATGAGTTAGTTATTTTAATGTTACTACAATTATTGTTTAGCCTGATAGCAACATAGCGTTTATAAAATACAAAAATTCTCTATTTATCACTAATGTAGTACAAGAAATATATTCGATAATTCTCGAGGTATTATTTGCAACGCGTTTATGGAAATTATATAAAATTAAATCTTTAGTTATATTTAATATCTTTATAACGTACTATTGTTGGTGTCATTCATATTGATCAACGTTTGGCCTGTGGGCATGATTGGTCTCAGTCTCTAGTTCAAGTTGTTCATGAAACGCCTAGGGAGCAGCACGGTCAAAGGTCGAGTATCCTGACATCTGTGGCGAATCTACGAACTACTAACGGATGCGTTAGAAAGCTGTGCATCCATAAGAAATTCGTATTGGTGATGGGCAGTATACATTTCTGACTTGGGAAATAGAAATGCAACGGCTCGCATTAATTTTATATATTTATTTTGTATGTCGCAAATCAAAAAGCAAAACCGCAGCACATGTTTCGTCTGTAGATTACAAACTATATCAGAGCTTAAATATGCAAGAAAGACAAGAAAGACCAATAACAATGAAAGAAAAATTAAAGGAATAAATATTAAAAATGTGATATTTATGTAATTACCTAACTATATATTAAAATACTAAATATACTAAAGAGAAAATGAAGAACAGGTATCAATCACATTGATGTGAATAACGAAATGAATCGTTCTTGGTCTTTAAAATTAGTTTTTGTGTCTCACAAGTTTTGTGACGACATGTGGAGGCAGGTGGCGACATATAGCGAAATGAAGGCATAGGGTTGGGCTGGGCTGGGCTGGGCTGGGGCCCGGAATTGTATTTGAGCTGTATTCTTCAAAGGAGACATATTTTAACATTTTATTAAGTTTTTGAGATTTAATATTTTGAATATCCCTACGCCATAGCACGGGAGGTAGAAAACTGCAGTTATAAAACAATATATAAATTGGAAGGAAAAAACCAAAATAATTCTTTACGGTAAAACTAAAGAGATTGTTTGGTGTTGTTTGTAGCTCAATGCTAGCTCACTGCTAACCAACGGTTTCTCTCGCATACAACAGGGCCTAATATTCTGTACCACACAGTGCAGGGACTGGCCGTTTCAATCTGAGTCCAACTACTTTTTACCTTTAAAACATTTTTTTTATAAAGTGCGTAGATTGTGCAAGGGTTCTGCTAGTTTGAAATTAAGAGACCAATGAACAAGAACTCGTAAGATACGATCTGACTGCCCGAAGCGTTTCGGGAAGTTTGAAAGCTCTGACCAGAAACGCAATTGTTCAAAATGCTTTGTATGGTGGGACTCAATGACTGTTGAAATATTTTCGAAACCTTAGAATTTCTAATGCATGCTCATGATTGGCATTTCTAATGCTTTGAACCAAGTCGATCGAGAAATGAATGCAATAAAAAAATGTTGGTATTTTGAAAAAGAATAATTATGAGTACACTTGAATCAACATGATTTTTTCAAATAGAGTTCCTCTTCAAACGTAGCATGACATACAACGCCTCCGACAGTGTTCAGAGAGACACACGGGATTCACAAACAGTGACAATGCGGGAATCACGAAAACTACTTTCTGTTTGTGATGTATGCGAAAGATTCCTACCACTGAAGTTCCACAGATGACTCCTATTCAAGAGAACTTTCACTCTGCTAATATCACGTTTCCGTCTCCCCAAATATCCAAATAATGGAAAGTTTTGAAAGTTCTTTATTATTTTCATTGAGAAGTTTAAACGAAAAATATGTAGCTTCTGTCTTAGCCTTGCAAAGACCCCCATTCCAGCGGAGAGGGCGTTCGGTCGTCCAGCTGCGTTGCTCCCTCGAAGATCTCCAGGGAGAGGAGCTATTTCATGATGATTGTCGTGCTGAAGCGTTGAGGTCAGTCGTTTAGCATTGTTTCCCTTCGAAAGAAAGAGAAACGTAAAAAACGCTTCCTTCATTGTTACTAAAAATGCATTTTTTTTAGTTACTTCTATGGTAATTTGGTTTTTGGTTACTATTAAGGTAACATATAGTTCTCAAGTTGATTTACCGTGTGAATAGTCTGAGTTTCACACTCGTCATAAGGGAGACAAAAAACAAGCTGGGGTGGTAAATTGTGAAAGTTAACTTCCCTTACAAAAACACGGAATTATATAAATTCCCAATAAATAATCTCCATTTAGATCACAGAGAAAATGTTGTGTTTGGTGATGGTAGCTTAAAAAGGAGGTTATTTTCGGGTTAAATAAATAAATAAATAAATAAATAAATAAATAAATAAATAAATAAATAAATAAATAAAATGTGAACCACGAACTTCTGGGTCGCAGCCAGAGGGCGCGCAGGCGCTGTGCAGGCATGTCCACGAAGGCTGTCAGAGCTAGCGCCGCCAGAAACACTGCCACAAACTCGCCAACGTTAACCTGCAAAAGCAAATAATAGCGGTTCATCACTGAGAACAAATTCCCCTTAAAACCGCATTATATTTTAACCGAAAAGACAAGAGGGCCAACAAATTTCGTCTTAAATCATGACAGGTGGAAAATGTTATTGCATGGATGAGTATTTGCATTAAAAATAACTCAATAATCGTTATCTCTTCACCTTTTCTTCATTTAGAGGTTCTATCTCTACCCGTGTTGGCCCATTCACCTCCTCTCATTTTGAACCAGTGCAATAGCAAGCATCACACCATACACAGAGTTGCAACTTACACAAATTCAGAAGCAAAACGAATTACGTACACGAAAGTTTCTAAATCTTAGTCGCTGCACCTTGACCCCCACATGCAGACTCGGCACACACCGAAATACGAGTATTCAAGCGGCCTTAGAGCCGTGCAGTCAAGTCTTGGGTTTTCTCCCCGCAATTCAACCGTAATAAACAGAGACGCGTACGAGGAAAGTAGGATTTTACTCGTCACACGGAAGAGTATCTGGCGCAATAAAGTGTTTTCTCAGTTTAAAACAGTCCCCATTGCATTTCTCGACAATAATTTTCAATTGATATTAGAAAGTTCACAGTGTGCTGACCACACACTAGCAATGGATTATTTGAATGTATGAAAGCCCAGGGTTGGGGAACCATCTGATCATCTTCTGAATGTTTTACTTTCTCGCCTTTCTACGTACTTAGGCAATAAATAACTAGTGGTGCTACAACAGCACATACTTTCTCCCAATATTACAATGTTATCGTTATGTATGACTGTACGCCCATAATGCTACATTAATTTCAAACAGAATGTATGCATAAACTAGTAACTTTTACAAACAATTGTAGAAGACCTTTTTTAAAGAGCTAATTTTGTACAACAGGCAATGTCTAAGGCAAAAACTTTTATCTTCAATTTTGTAGTTTTAAAAATTATTTTGTGCGATTTTCCAAAACCCTGTCAATACCTGAATATGGGACTAGCACCATATTTTTACCGTACATAATCGTAGAATATTTAAATAATAAATTTGGAGCGATTTTTGAGAAAAATAATTGCGATAATTTCAAGCGCAAAATGAGCAAAAACAACTCATTTTTTCAAACAATTATACACGACCTTTTTTAAATAGCTAATTCTGTACAACGCACTATCCAACAAAATTTAATCAAAATATGTAGAACAATTTTTTTGAAACTTATGAAAATGTTTATGTTAAGTAATTGCTAATCGAAGAAGACTGTCCAATTTTGGTGAATTCAGTCTGTACATTACTGATGGGTAGGGGCAGATTGCAAGGAAATGTCCATATTTTCTTCTCGCTTTAGAATAATGCCGATTATTATAGATATTAACTTTATGTTATGACGAAACGAAATGACCCATTTTCATAAGTAATTTCTTTTTGCATTTTTTGTCCATTTCGACTAAAGTCATTTTTTACCTTTTACGTCATATTTACTGTATTTTTTCTCATTTCATCGATTTTAATATAATTTTAATGATTCTTGCTTCAAATAATATTTACGAATTGTAGCAAATGTTCACTATAGAAAAACTGCGTAGTCTATTCGATTTTTTCGCACATATATTGTAATGTCAGTTATTGCGACTACTATGTAATCTAAGATTCCTGTGACGTTTATCGACACCATTGTCAGTTCGGCCGATTTCGTGATAAAGGCAGAGATTTTATTTTAAAGAACAGTGCAATCCACATGTTTGGAAGCTGATTTCATTTGAACAACTGGAAGAAGCTTTGATTACCATAGTAGACCAACAGCTTGAGTTATTCGTCGTAAGTGGTTTAAATCACAATTTATACGTCATTTTTGTTTGTTATTGGGGCATTTTTAAAGCAGAACATTTTAATGATTATTTTAGGCAATATTCGAGGTCATCAAAATCCGCACCCTACTTATAGGATAAGGTTCCAGTCTATTAGCAACGAGGTCTGAATCATCCTTTATACGTAATTACGCACTTATAACAGGCTGTGAATTTGTTACAATTAATAAAATGTACTTTAGATTTACAAATCCCACAATCACAGCAGCGCCATCTCACCAGTGTGCCGAGTGTGAAGTACTCGGGTGTGCGAGCGCGTCCCAGATTGTAGAAGAAGACCGGAAACTGCACGATGTACAAGGCGTACGTCAGTCGGCTGAGCACAGCGAACCCGCGCCACTCCAGCAGGGCGCCCAGTCGTCCTAAACACAGGGAACAATTACCTGATGAAGGAGCACCGATCTCTCTTGTTCGCAGTACAATGACAATTTGAACTCCCCCCCCCCCGCCACAAGCACGAATCATACCAGAATTAAGACAAAACGTGCAAGCTCACAATATTACTTTACTTAAATGGTAAATGTAACATATGCCTGAAATACAGTTTTTGAATCCAATAATTTTAAATGGAATTATAACTTTTATCGTCGAAATTTTAAAAATAATAATTTTTATTCCAATGTGAAACTAAATGTCATTAAATCACGCACATTTCCTTCGGATAATTTACAGAATTCCCCTTCCCCGTCTTCCCTTCAATCCTCCTCCCTTCCTACCTCCCTCTCCGCGTTCTTTCCAATGGTTACGTTCAGCTATTCTGGGAATTCAAAGAAACAACTTATGAGGAGCGTCAGCTGGGGCGCGGGTGACGTGAGGCGGAACGCAGCGGCCGAGTGGCAAGCGCCGTACCTCCGCGCCCGCAGCCCGTGGCCAGCACCGCCCAGCCGAGGCTCGCGGCCCACGCCACGGGGGCCAGCGCCGTGTAGGCGGCGCCGTGCAGGCGGTCGAAGCGGTAGCCCGGGAGCCCCATGGCGACGGGGCCGCCCGTGGCGAGCAGCCCCAGCGCCGCCGCCACCGCCCACCCCACGCGCGCCTGCGCCTGCCACACAAGGGCAACTATGAACCTTACAAGACATCGACTCCTTTAATGTGTGCATTCCACCAGCGCCATTTTTCAGAACTCATTTAAATTTAAGAACCCGATTATGCGAAAGATAAATGTTTTTGGAGTGGGTCGAATTTTGGGCTATACGGGAGTTTGCCCGTATCTCCCTCTCCTATGCAAGGCAATGGAAGCGTAAGGAAGAGTGGGAGTACTGGGATGTGGGTGGCGGCAGTGTGCTCCTGTACGGTTCTGTTCGGTTCGACAGAGTCCGCGGCTATTAACTAAGCTAAGAATACCGACCCTTCCATCTGATTTCATAAATTACAGTTTTGTTTCCTGTTCTCTCGTTTTTGCGTGAGCACCATTGTGTCTTCCGTTATCAACATAAAATATGTATTAGACCAGGATTATAATAATAATAATAATAATAATAATAATAATAATAATAATAATAATCTATCCCACTCTAATTGATATTCAAGGTTAATAACCTTGTCTTAATCAAGGGATGCAGCCGAAAGGCGATTCCCATAATCTCCCACACGCTGATCTCACAGAGACAGAATACAACTGGCCTAGGAGAGAGAATGTGTTGCGTACTCAGTAGTGGCCGCATACGCGAATATAATAATAATAATAATAATAATAATAATAATAATAATAATAATAATAATAATAATAATAATAATAAAGAAACTAAATAGTGTTTGCAGCTTTCTTGTCTTTACTACTGGGGAGAGAGACGTCGCCAAATGCGCCTTACTGCGTTACGGAACACGGTGCTTTTTGTGAGGTGAAGTACCTAATTGTCCTTTCAGACTATTTATGGAAACAATAATAATGCTGACAGATCAGCGACGTCTGTGAAAAATAGCACATTAAATGATGTAAAGAACAGTCTAGGAAAGAAAAGATAAATATTGTCAAGAAAAGCCAGGGATAGACATTTTGAGTAATAACGAAAAAAAACCTTGCAACTCCATTTGAGAGTTAAAACTGAAAAATTAGTAAATCAGACGTTGATTTGATTTGTACATGAATTGAACTGAAAATACTGCAATTCTCTTAATTGCATTTTCATAGTTCTCACTTTTCTGGCCATCTCCATAGTTTTCGCAGGTCCAATTCAAATTACAAATGTGAACATTAAGTTTGATGTTAATAAGAAGAAATACCAAAACAGACCGGGCATTAAAGTCACGTGTACAAAATGTCTTTAAATGACAACAAAACTGTAGATTTCAAAGAAAAAACAAACATTTTTTATATAAGAAATAATGATTTTAAAGAATAAGTCACACCCGGCAAAACAATACATTTATTTCAGTGCAGTGCATTGAAATAGGTTTAGCCGTTCCAGAGATTTCCCCAGTGATACAGACATAAAGACATACACACATATAAACATTTTAAAAGTAGTTGATTTGTTTTTTTACATCATCTTAATTATACAAAGACCAATATTTTCAAATCACAAATAGATATTCCAATTTGTATATAAAATTATATTTTCTGAGAATTATTGTGATTTTGCTTTCAAAATGGAAAGAAATTATTGTTCAGGCGGCGAAATAGTCGAAGAAAAGTTGGGAGAGCATTTTGATGGCAATGGCAAAGGAACATCGCCTCTTCTATCACAGTAGTTTTTGTCGGACAAGAGTGTTCTGGAAAAGAGATGACACACAATTGACAAGGATTGTTACTTGGAGAAAGAATTAACGAGTATTGAAGTAGTTGTCACAGTTACCTCTGTCTAAACGAAAACTGACCCTTTCCTTACGAATTCCGTGGCCTTTTGCTACGTGTTTCTACTACATCCAGTGCCTGGTACACTCTGGGTCCAACCTTGAAGACGTTCAAAACGCTTTTACTCAGCTTTCCGCATTAGCTTGTCGTAACAAGGCAAGCCGGCGTCTGCGATAGAAAACTCCTGATATTTCGGCAATGCTAATTTTTAGCAGGAATTTTTAGCTATCCAGGAGCTGGTGCGATCTTTCGGTGACGCTCCGAACTAATACAAAGAAGTTTACAATCGACTCCAAGGACTTTGCATGAAGAAATGAATGTTTGGTCGGCAGAGAAGAAATTCGCGCGGCTTTTTGGAGAAAATTAAGACTATCGGGGAGGCGCCATGTTTAAAATGTATAATTTTTACCTCTGAAACGCCTTCAAAGAACATCAAACGCCCTTGATGTTAAAGAAAACAAGGCGCCAAATTCAAAGTAATTTGGTCGGCAACGTGTCAACAATTATCGAAGAATACTTTATTATACAATACGAGATGCTGAGTTAACCTTCGACTACCGGGAAGCCGGTGACAATCTGTCCTTCAGAGCTGGTGCAGATGAAGCACTGCTTTAACAAAGGTCGAAAGGCAGAAAATGCCACTTAATCGCGTAGTTAAATATGCACAGGAAACATTTATGGAAAAGGTTGAAGTATTTCATTGCAATTTTTGACATAATTTTCCTTAATACAAGAGATCACCTACGTAACGAATTTTTCTTAGTCAGAAATATGTTGGATATCCCGGGTTTTTTTTTTTTTTAGTTTCTGCTCCACCACCGCACCTGCTGGGAGACTGGCCAGGAGCTTAGAGCTTGTGACGGGCCCGGTGGTGGGAGAGGCCCGTTTAGAAAGAAACTTGTAGCTGACGGTAAGTCTGCGCCGGATCGCCCTACTAAGCGGGGCGAAGATCACCGCCACCTTACGAGCAAACGCATGCATTTTAGAACTAATTATCTCAGACATTGACGCTTTCGGAATCACTACTAATCAATCAATCAATCAATCGTACCTTTGTCATACATTCTTGGCGATTCGGGATGAGCCGCGTCTCGGTCAATTGCACTGACGTTTCGGCCATCTTACTGTGGCCTTCTTCAGAGCTGTACTGCTGCAGTATAACTCTCAGGAAGGCCACAGCAAGATGGCCGAAACGTCAGCCCAATTGACCGAGACGCGGCTCCTCTCGAATAGCCAAGAATGTACTGACTCCGGCCGCGGAAGCCTACGGACGCTTACCTTTGTCATGCGCATCTGTCCTCCAGGCAAACGACACAACAGGAAGCCCAGGGCGACCCCCACAACGCACACAGTCGCTCGATGCGCCGCCTGAAGCAGGGTGCGGAGTCCAGGGTGCGGAGGAGCTGTGATATTCTGCCATGAAATCACACAAAATGAAAAACCTACTTCTGAATGTGAACGTAATTATCTCAATGTCCTTCCTTTCTTATGAAAATTTTAAAAATATTGTTAGCGTTAATGGTGATTTTGAAAGTGCACTTATAACCACGCTTAAAAAAATAGCACTTCTCATTTTCGATGAAATTCTTGAATTTTCAAATCTAACGCAAGTTCAAATTTTATTCGGCGCCTTCCTACACCTACAATGTCTACAATATCAATTCTTGAATAAAATCTCTGGTTCAAAGACATTTTTAAATATGGTCGTGTACAATTTTTTTAACAAATTAGTAGTTTTTGTGTAATTTTAGCTTGAATTTAAAGCAAATTAAAAATAATATTAACATTTTCTCAAAACTGGGTTCAAATTTTTTATTTAATTTTTTTATGCATACAGCAAAGTACACTAAAAAGGCGAAGGCCTCATTTTAGTTGAACACTTTGAAATTTGCAAGTTTTCTTAAGTTAGAAATAAAGGGAAATAGCATTAGACTTTTAAACATCGTCACACTGAGTACGGCCGAGCGCCTCCGGGGTGTAGCGTTAGAGCACAGGGTAAGTTTACTGGATGGTGCAGAGTTCGAATCTCGGCGCGGGAAAGACATTTTTGATGGATGTAAACACTTTTGCAGCTTCACGTAGAAGTATAACATTGCGTAGCCCTTTCAAAAATGCAAATGTATGTGCAAATGGATCACTAGTAGCTTTAAATATAAGTCCATCCAAGGAATAGATGACTTGGAATAAGATACTGCATTATCTTTACCCGTATTTCAAGTACGGAAGCGTGAATGCTCAGATGGGATTCTCTTATCAGAAAAGAGAACGTTAAGTGCTGTCAATATTTAATGCATGTTTGTTTGGGATGCACGCAATGACTTAACAATACTACAATATGACTATTTTCATTCACGAATATTTCTACGAGTTGGCCTGTTTGTTCAATTTCGCAGTTCAGCATGTGCTGCACTCACGTGGTGCCGTAATAAATCATTGTGCTGAGCTCATAGCGCCACGCGACGGAGAATCGGAGCACTGAGGAGGCGACAGCCAGCGCCCCTAGCAGCGCCGCTCCGCGGCGAGGCGCGCGCCAGACCAGCGTCACGAGGACAAGCGTCAGCAGAAACAGCTGCATGTCAATGGCCAGGTGGTGCGTGTGCGGGAGGCACTGCCACAGGCGAAAGAGAAGATTGAACCACATTGATCCACCTTCATACAAAAAATTACCCTCAAATCATGACAGAACTAAATAATGAAATTGCATTCAAAAAAAAAGTTTTGACCTACGTCAAACTATTTTTGGGGCCTCGCTGAGTCAGAACTAGGATTTCAAATTACTTCAGCATCATCAGATAATTCAAAATTATCAAATTCCTTATTTTGCAGATTCGGAAGCTATAGAACGTTTCTCCATTCACCAAGTTCAAATCTGTTGTTCCAATTATTTCAGTACCAACCAACTTTAAAGAACAGAAACATACTAAAATATTCCTTTAACTTTCCTTTACGTCGCCTACTCACATTCGGCTGTTAAACCCTCAGACGACCCCTTAATTTTTCTTGACACCCTATAAAGTATGTACCTATAAAGTAACGACCTAAAAAGACCAATACCAATCCTGTAAGCATCTTATGAATTAAAAGTCTCAATATGAAAATATTTAACATTATAATCTTGGTTCAATTATGTCGGTGATTCATTTCTTCCTGAAGGATTAGAATAATTAACTTTACTTCATCATAACCTTTTCAGGGACGACTCTTTTAACTCATATTCATTCGTGTGGACCCGAGAGTTTCATGCCGACAAACGAACGCTTGAGTCGGTTGCCGTATGGTCTCAACAAAATAGCTGCGGTTTCTTGTTTCCCCTCAAAAACAAAAGTTCGTCTAGGTCCCGCCTGCAGCGCATCTGTTGGGCCTTGCATCGTCACTCCGGCTGCGGAAGCGAATGTACTGCACCCGAGACGAGGCGGGACGGCGATAAAAAGAACGGGTAAAGCAGCTGCTGCAGCGACAAAGATAAAAGTGCTATGTTCTACAAACGACCCCAGCAGAAGTAGTTAAATGCGCCACATTTAACATTTTTCCAAATTTGTCGCGTAATGGGAGGGTATTTTAAACCTGATAAATCGACTCTCCTTTTATATTTCTCGTCTAACTCTAAAACTATTCTTCTGATTGAAGTTTGGTTTGTAAAATTCAATTTCTCGTAAACCGTTCTACCCATACACAGAATATCAAAACGGAGAGCTAAAATTAATATTTTTCAAAATTTGTCACGTAATGGGGAGAATTTTAAATTTTATCAGTTTAGGATCCTTTTTGTTTGTCGTGTAACGTCATAAATATTCGTCTGATTTGCAACACTCAATTTCTCGTAAAGTGTTCTATTATTACGCAGAACATCAAAACGGAGCCCTAAAAATAATATTTTTTCAAATTTTTCACGAAATGGGGAGGTTTTTAAACTTGAACACTCGAGGTTTTTATCGTTTGGCGTGTAACTTCTAAACAATTTGTAATTCTGTTTCTGTAATTCTGTATCTGTAATTCTGTATACATGTAAAACACATTAAAAGAAATTGATTGGTGCAAAGAAAACAAAAACCAGACGAATAGTATTCGAGATACACGTGAAACCAAAGGAACCTCAATTGTTCAAAGTACAAAACGACTCCCCCCCTTACGTGCCAAATTTCGAAAAATATTAATTTCAGCAGTGCTATATCTAATTCCGCATACATGTAAAACACATTTAAAGAAATTGATTGGTGCAAAGCAAACTCCAATCAGACAAATAGTTTCCGAGATACACGAGAAACAAAAGGAACCTGAATTGTTTAAAGTACAAAACGACCCCCCCCTTACGTGCCAAATTTCGAAAAATATTAATTTCAGCACTGCTGTCTCTGATTCCGCATACAAGTAAAACACGTTAAAAGAAACTGATTGGTGCAAAGCAAACTCCAATCAGACAAATAGTTTCCAAGATACACGAGAAACAAAATGAATCTCAATTGTTCAAGTTACAAAACGACTCCCTATTAGGTGCCAAATTTCGCAAAATATTAATATCAGCACTGCTGTCTCTAATTCTGTTTACAAGTAAAACATTAAAAGTTACATTAAAAGAAATATATTGGTGCAAAGCAAACTTCAATCAGACGAATAGTTACTGAGATAGACGAGAATCAAAATGAACTTCAATTGTTGAATTTACAAAACGATCCCCCCTTACGTGCCAAATTTCAAAAAATATTAATTTCAGCACTGCTATCTCTAATTCTGTATACAATTAAAACACATTAAAAGAAATTGATTGGTGCAAAGCAAACAGATCAGTCGAGGATTTTTTTTTTGTTTGTTGTGTAACATCTAAACTTTTCGTCTGATTGAAGTGTGATTTGCACTACTCATATTCTCGTAAAGTGTTCTACCTATACATAGAATATGAAAACGGAGAGCTAAAGTTAATATTTTTCCAAGTTTGTGACAGAACGGGGGGTATTTTATACTTAATCAGTCGACGTTTTTTTTGTTTGTCGTGTAACTTCTAAATTATTCGTCTGATTGAAGTCTGGTTTGCACTACTTAATTTCTCGTAAAGTGTTCCATTAGTACACAGAATATCAAAACGGAGAGCTAAAATTAATATTTTCGTAATTTGTCACGTAATGAGGGGGTATTTTAAACTTGATCAATCGAGGATACTTTTTGTTTCTCGTCTACCTAATAAACTCTTCGTTTGATTGAAAACTGCAGGAAACGAATGGGAAAGTACAATTCACGGGAAGTCAAATCTGACAAATTTCTACTTGTATATTCATTAAATTTATGTACCTAATATTACTTTTAATGTAAATCTTTGAAAAGTTCAGTTTCTCGTAATTGTGTTTTGCACACGTTTCGCGTGTTTTGCACACTGCAAAATATAGCTTTTTCGCACATGAAAATCAAGCACGAGAAACTGCGTTTCGCGACGGCGTGTTATAAACATATTTACTTGTTTGGTGTTCTGACGGCAGAATTGAATATGACTGTATGAATATTATAGGCAAGTAAAACTATTATACATGTGATTAATTGGGAAAAACATTTGAGAGAATGACCTTTTTAACGGTTTTGAATACGCGCTATTTTTAGATTTTTATTAAGACACTTCTGAAGAAACGTCACCAATCACCATTTGAAGAACATTCACTCACAAATGCAACAATGTATATAAATTGCAGTAAGTAAAAATTAACAAGAGAGGGAGAGAGCGAGAGAGAGAGACTGATAGAGCGCGAGAGAGAGAGAGACTGACAGAGAGAGAATGTTCGAAAGACAAATGTTTGAAAAGTGCTAGGGGGTTAATGCAAAGAACTTCCAAAATTTAAAGAATTATTTTTAAAGCCACGGAGCTTCGGGTACAGATGGAATAGAGAATTTTAATTTCATAAAAATTCTTCTAATATTTTAGTCACTAATGTTGTTCAAAGGCGGACCGAGAGGTGGACGTTTTGAGAAAACAATTTCTTTGTATCATAAAACATCAAGACGTCTATTTCCGTTGAAATCTCGAAATCGATTTTCCTCTTCAAATCATAACTTTCTCTATACTACGTACATTATATATTACTCTGTTTATACGTATGTATACAAGTAAATAACAAAAGAACTTGAAAGAATTTGTATTAATTGAAATATAATAAATAAATGAATTGAAAGATTAATGAAAAATAATAAAAATAAAAATTCATTAACTTACTTCTAACATACATTACTTCTAAAATTTGTCAACAAAATACAATAATATCGTAATAAATACTATAAAATTCCAAAACATTTTCTAATGGTTAACCTCTTTGAAATAGAATATTTAAAAAAGGAAAGTACGTGTATTAAATAAGTTTAATGTATATATAATATATTAATGGCAATTCTAGAATGAAAAATTTTCAATCAAGATAATGTATAGCTGAAACTTTGAGCAATTATTGCCCGGTTATCAATTAATAACCCGAGAAACGACGGTGCTAAAAGAAAGTCGCTGTTTTCGGCGACTGGCCAGTGCCTCTCTCATTCAATTCCAAATCGATAAACAATTTTTCTTCCGATATTACTCGCCGTATTGTTGGTTTTCGGAAAATAAAAGCAGTAGGTATTTTGGAACGCGATAATAAGTTCTAACGAAAGGACTCTTACGAAGAGTCCCAGGAATTTACTCACAATGTCCTTGAAACCAAAGAGATTGTGAATGAAAAGAAAGTGTCTCCACATATTGCTGCGGCAAAGTTTCGCCTGCTCCTCCACCAGGAGCCCCCACTGCGGCCCTGAGCCGAGAGAGGGCAGCAAGTAGGCGTAGAATAGCACCGTCGCCGCCATGTTGGGCGCGATCCTGCGAACATAGCGCGGGAGGGAAATACGACGCCTTTTGAAAATATCCCAAGTACGCGTAAAGTATCCCGAGTATTTAAAAAATATTTTTCAAAGTTGCAGATCCTGGAGTCGCGACTGATGGAATGGGGAATATTCATTTCGAGAAAAATATTCCGAATAGTTCTGGCGCTATGAATTACTTTGAGCAAAGTCGGCGCCTTGACGCAAAGCCCAATGTGCATAATGTTTATAGTGTCATGTGAACGTGCGTGTGTCAGATATGTAAATAAGTGTAATTGGGCATAAGTATGAATGGATGAATGTTGGAAAAAACAATACTAAGAAGCGTGTAGAAACGAAGCATTAACATAATATTCTATGAAGCATGTCTGTGAATCTTAGGTTACCGGGCAAAGTGCCGACTTCTTCCGTAGGTTAAGTTAGGTGAGAAATTAGTTATTGAGCACTTCCCCCTTCTCTGTCGCAAAAGCTGAAGAGCTGCGTCGCATGTAACCCCTACATGACAATAAACGACCGCCTCGCCAAGGGCAAAGTCGAAAGTAGAGAAAAATATAGCATACCGAAACTTCTTCATTTCTTGGTGAGACTGATAATTTGTCAACAACTACTCAAATGGTTAAAAAATAGTCCATGACATAATTTTAAGACCTAAAATTAAAGTTAAATTTCATTGAAAAAATTATCTCGCTTTAATATTGCAGGCTCGAAAATCAATTTCAACTTTGCAATAATTTTTAAAATTTCATAGGCTTTAATGAATATTGAAATACACCAATTTTATTAATGGCATTGTTCTATTCCAGAAAAAATTAAAGGAAAAATTCAGCCACTTTTCCTGGAAACTTCGAAAATATCATTTCAGCATTTGCTCACGTTGTGTAAGTAGAATCCATGTTTTGTTTGTCCCTGACTCCAAAAAAGCGATTGGCAGCAAATCGTCTCTGTCAATTCAATTCAATTCAATTCAAGGATGCCTTATTCTACGTGGCGAGAAAATCAGAGCCGCTCTTTCTCCTGGAAACGCAAATTTTGTTACGCTACTTCTGCCATCTAGAAACTAAAAAAGCTAAAGAATACATCTGTCGGGCGACGAAACATGCTATTCAAATTTTTCTCAAGACAGACTCTTCTTTAAGACTCGAGGGCTATTACATGAAGCAAGTCGACGATATGGGACAACCGAATTTACTTCCCTTCCTACGAGAGGTGTACAATGGCTTGGTTTTCGTTTTTGTTTTTTCCTGTAAAATCCAAGGTTTTGGTCGAATTTGAACTCGTTAACTTTGCTATGACTGATATGCTAACCGTTATATAACAGAAGCCTAAAAGTTCGTCTGTGGTCAACACGAACGCTTAAATCGTTCGGATGATTGTCTCTCTCTAAAATTGATATTTCCCCATCGAATTAAAAGAACTTAAGGACATTTGAGTTTGAAACTAATATTTGAATTGGGGGGGGGTACTTTACATGAAGGCTATTACATTTACAAAAGTTTCTAAAAGAATGGCTCCAATGTTTTTATTAAACTTTGTCCGCGGCTTAATTTCTCATTTTTTTTTAAATTGCAAAATTTTGAACTTTTTCGACGTTCTCCTGCTTCTGCAGTTCTCCTATTGAACATCAATGAGAAACAACATTGATGACAATATTATTATGACATGTTAGCTGAAATTAAACAAATTCATATTTTTCAACAGACTATTTATTCGTCTGAACCAGGGGTTCCCAAAAAATTTTTCCCCATTTGTTAAGAGAAAAACTTCCCACTCCCCTTGCACATTTTTAAATGGTAATGAATAAAAAAGTGTTACACGAGTAACACTACATTATTTGTTTACTCTTTACAATTTTAAAAGTTAATTATGTTTTTTGACCTATTGTTGAAATGTCCGTGTTTTGAGGTTAGGTCCAGCAAATTCATTTTATACGATTTATGCTTAATTAATATTACAAGTTAAAATTTAAATTAATCAGGGGACAAGACAAATCAGTAAGAAGGGTAAGCTTACATTTTTATGGGATTTCCTATACTTGGTTGAGTAACAAAACGTGCACTACGTAAATCATTAATAATTTTAAGTTTGCCCCGATACTTTTTTAAATTACAATAAGTGCTGAAGACTTTATCGTGCATAATGCTTAATACTACACAGCAAAGAACACACTGAGACTGTTTGAAGCCATCCTTACAAAAAAATCCCTACTTAATATAATAATCGTTATACTTGCGTTATTTGGCTGTGCTCATCTCGAACGATATTTCATGTCACAAATCCCACAATGCAACAAGGCAACCCTGACAAAATTCATATCTTCCTAGCGCGACAAGTCCTGTGGAATGTTAGGGTATGAAACCATTCCTTGAGGGGTCCCGCGCCCCCCTTGACTTGCCTCTACGCTCCCTTGAGGGCGAGCACCTCCTTTTGGAATCAACAGTCTAAATGGACGAAGGTAACGAATAATATGTGAAAGTTTGTGCCATATTATCACAATATTATTTTAATTGTCATTGGGAGCTATTTGCGTGGCAGATTATTTTTTTCATAAAATAAAAGAAATTTAACAATATAATGCAAGTGATGTGTTTTTTATCTAGGTCACTTTTTGTTTTTTATATTTCCCCAGATTTGTACCAATTTTTTTATACTCTCTTCGGAAAACAAAACGTTTATACTACTTTCAAAATACCAAAATCTGTAAGAGCTAAGCTAATATTTCTGCCGTGAGAATTCGCTGTTCCAAATAGCAATTTTCACAATACGCAGTTTTGTTTACTTTTCAGAATTCCATTACACATATTGTTTAAAGCCAAAATCTTTGTTGTTGTTTTTTTGTTGAAAACGACATATTCTTACTTGCTAAACAAAAATAAGAGGATTACTAGAGATAATAATAAATAATTTGCAACATGGTTTATGTTGCTACGACTTCAGGCGTTTATGGGAAGCTCTGGATGCTCCTACAAATTGAACGTTTTCGCCATTGTGTGCGTCATCGATACGAAGAGGAGGAGTTCACCTGAATGTCCTGGAAGCGAGGAGTTCGGGGACGGAGATCGGCCCGCCCGCGTCGAGGCGCCGGGTGACCTGGCGGGCGGTGAGCAGGCTGCTGAGCAGCAGGAACGAGTCGGTGTAGATGGGGCCCGTGCGCACGAAGACGGCCCACGGCGCGCTGAGCACCTTCAAAAAAATAAGCCCAATAACAAATTTACGGAAGTATTTAGCCAGATCCGGAGCTAGACAATTTTGAAATTTAATGCTGAAAAAAAAGCCCACCCCAAAAAATTTGTCATTTTATTTCAACAAACAACAAAAAATACAAAGTTTAAGCTAAAGTTAAAGTTTTTGGAAATACTTTTCAAATAATAGATTTAAGTAAAAATTTTAGGTGTTCAAATAATAGAATTTACATGGTGAGCCGTCCAGAACATTTTGTTGTGTTTAGTGTTTAATAAAATAACTTAGCAAATACCTGAAATAATAAATATGGATTTCTGAAGAACCTATTTTAATGTTAGCGTAATCTGCACCAATCTGCACAGTTAATACATTATTCAATCATTTGGTTGCTTCATACCTGCTAACCTGTTATGAACATGCACTATCTATAATTAGAGACATACACTCCTAAACTTCAATGAAAATACATTACCAATATCCGCGTAATATACAAAACTTTTCAAAAATACGTATTGAAATATCTTGGATGTAAAGAGGATAAAATTTGAAGGCTTAAAACTTTCAATGACAGCATTGTTTTGTAAAAGTTTCAGACTTATCTGACATTTTTTTATTTCATAGAGTCCCACTAAATAATGACTATAATTAAGAATTTAAGCTACAAAATTAATTGAAAATTTTATGAAATATCAGACTACTGTACCGACACATAAAAATTACGATAACGGATTTCTTAAGTTCTAATTTCTTTTTCAACTTTTTAATAATTTTCCCCCATCATTCCGAACATTGGACCGCCTGAATTGCGAGGCCATCGCCCTATGTGCCCATGCCCAGCGCCGACAATGTATTTAGCATTCTGGGTCGATTGTTCTACTTAACCAGGCCATCTAGCAGTGTCCTTCACTTACCCATTCCCTTCACCGTAACTATCAAACTCCTCCTGCTTCAGCCCTTCTTCATCACACACTGCTACAGAAACTGAAAAGATTTTAAAGGAAAGCTCTAACTTTATTTTTGCCTCGACCGGAAATCGAACCGTGGATTACACCACGGGAAGCCTGTACGCCACCCTTAAGCCATCCCTTAGGCTCCCAATAACAAAGAAGGTTTGAATATTTTATTAATGTTCAAAAAACCTTTAACTATATCATACACAAAGTTACGTATTCAAATCGATATCAAGGTTTTGGGAAAATGCACAGCCGTCGTTCATAGATGTTTCCTCGAAATTACATGATCATCATCGTTAAATAACGGCAAGATGCCAATGTGAAGTGTGCAATAACTCTAAAAGAAATGCTTGCATATGAACTTGGAGCCGCGATGGAATGGATACGCGGTGGCGATTCTTCTCCAAAGAGTGCAAAATATCGCAACTCTCAATGGTAATAGGTATAGGCATTTTGATAATTGATTTCAATTAAAGAAGTTGTTAAAAGACAGATTCGTGCAGTTTTTAAATGTGTACGTTGTTTTTGCACAAGTTTTATTCAAATTGTATCAATTTCGCTCGTACATTCAAAAAAACATTTTCTTAAATGTGGTACAATTTTCCCTCCATCAAATGAGATGGCAAGTACTCTTTTCATATAGGTCTTGGAATTTTCCAAAATTACGAATTGGAACCCCCTCGCACGTCCTCGACTCTCACATTATTTGATTTAATATATACATGAACACAGCAAATAGCAAGAACGTGTTCCCTTCAACGACGATGTTTGACTGAATCATGAAAGTGCTGGTAATCACTGTACTCGGGGTGTTATAAGGCAGTCTCCTCCATCTTGTGAATCTTTTGTCGTGATTTAGGAACTGCGGTGTGATTCTTGAAGCCGATCACATAGTCTACGAAGTATTATGTCCCGCGATAGTATTACGTTCTATGAATCTTAACTGTGACGATGATACGTACGTACTGTACGTACAAGTTCGTATTGCATCACTGACATGATACGCGATGAACATAATTTAATCGATACCAAGACACGTTGCATTGCCGATTGTAGTGTGTGTAGCTGATGCTTTCACGTCAGTTGGCCGCATCTCTTGCTGCAGAGACATACTAGATGAACGATTGCCAGGGCACGACTCCACCACTCATATTGCCAGGACTTAGATACCGGGTGTGGCGTTCACTGATGACGGAGACATTTACCGTAGAAGAAAAGATTCATGACATGATCTACAGGCGGATGTTTATCTTGTGTAAGACATCTGATACCCTCATGATAATCTCGTCTCCTTGACAACGGATCACACGCGTAACATTACACTCGGTTGATTAATGGTGATTGCGGGCGCGTCAACTGCTAAGGTAATTCGTTCCGTAAGTCTATTATATATGTTTTATTACGGGAGGGGCGGTTATCATTCCCGGCTTGATGGCGAGATCCGGCGCCGATCTACGTCGGCCTGCGGGGAAATCTGTAGCCAGGCATCTCCCACCAGCGGGGCACCGCCCCAGCAGGGGCAAGCTCCAAGCTCCCGACGGGTCTCCCGGCATGTGCGATATTGCAGCGCGTGTGAGTGTATGGGCTGAGAGTAGGACAAGGAAGAGGAAAGGAAGATGGCGCGCTGTCCGCGACCAGGTGGATGCAGAAGCAGTATCCAAAAAACGGACCACGGACAGCGCACGATCTTTTCTTTCTCTTCCTTGTCCTCTCGTCTCCCAAACCTTCCATTTACACTACACTAACACACATGCCGGGAGACCCGTAGGGAGCTTAGAGCTTGCCCGACTGGGGCGGTACCCCACTGGTGGGAAATACCTGGTTGGGGAAAACCACGCTAGTGCATGGTAGGTCGCCTTAGGGTGTACCATCCTGTGGGGGAAGATCACCTCCCGATTAAAAAGCATGCACCACACTTAAGGGATTAAATACCTAAGTAGTTAAGGCGCTCGGAATCATCAACCAATCAATATATATCAAATCTTACAGCCAGGCCAGACCATTAACTTGGCCCGCTCGGCAAGGCCACGTAAGAGACGTACGTGACGGGCGAAGACATGCGCGCCACGTGTCGCCCTCGCCCCCAGGCGGGGATAATAAATAAGGAAAGCAGGTCTGGAAACACAGCTAGCTGTCAAAGGTCGCTGTAATCAGACCCCAAATGCTAAATACTATATTTACTATGTCGTATGTGTCATATGTAGAAAACACTTTATTCTTTACAGCTTGTTATTGCCTGCGATACGGAAGTCGACATACACTGCATAACTTCCCTGGATCAAAAGGTGGTTACGAGGGAAACATGAAAATAGTTTAATGATACTAAATGTTCTGTCATTGAGGTAATTGTGGGAGGTAAATATGAAAAAACGAACCGAGTCAACATCTACTTAATTAGTAAACAAGTTAATACGAATCAATAAAATTATGTTATTAGGTTAACTCGATCATTAGAAGCCTTGCAATGCCCTTAGTGCCCAACAACAGGGTGCCCTCACCTGGAGCATGTCGGAGCGGTTGAGCAGCGGCAGGAAGGTGAGCGCCATGGCCTTGTGGATGATGAGCAGGACGAGGGCGTTGAGGCAGCGCACGCCGTCCACACACCGCAGCGCCCCCGCCCCCGCGCCCGCGCCCTCCGCCGGCCGCCGCGCCCAGTCGCGCAGCAGCTCACGCGCGTGGCCGCGCAGCGAGAACGCGCCCAGCAGCCCCCCTGCGCCACACACGCGCACACACACACTCACTCGCTGGCTCAGGGCATCAACGGCCGTCACTGCACGCCCTCTGACCGCGACGCTCCAGCTACGAATCCCGACGGTGGCAGCTCAGCTAGGCCGAATTCAGTCGATGTCTGGAGGAGCGGCTGACTGCTCTGATAGGTAGTTTTTCGGGGGTTCTCCGATCAACACCAGGCGAATGCCGGAGCAGTTGCCCTAACAAACGGGCCACGGACCGTGCGTGATCTTTCCTTTCCGTTCCGTTCCTTGCCTATCCTCCCCGTTACGCACCCTTACATGCACTACACTAGCATACATGCCGCGAGACCGATCAGGATCTTAGAGCTTGTCCCGACTAGGGGGGCGGGGTGCCACGCTAGTGGGAGACACCTAGTTATCTATTAGCCACTCATAGACGACGGGTAGAATACAGGTGAATACAGGTGAATACAGGTGAAATAGACCGAGAGAAGGGGAACAATGAAAATAAAACGAGTCGAAAGGACTAGAGCAGGGGTTTTCAAACTTTTTTCGTCCATGGCTCCCTTGTCCTATACAAAACTTTCCGCGGCTCCCCTGGTAACAAAACGTTTCAAGTATAAGGGTTAACATAGGCCTACTGAAGATTCAACACAAATGAGTACGTGATATGAGAGGCAATGTTATTTCTCCATTTCAACTAGGTTTTAAAATAATATAACATACTTTATTCAACTTTTAATTTTATGTCAAAATTCTTCTAAACTTTAATGGGAAGGACGAACTTGCTTCTTCATCAATTGTTCAAATCTGGGATGAACATTTGAAAATGTAATTTTATATATCTCTAAAGTCAGTATATATGTTACTTTTTATATATTATTTGATTTGTAAGTAGATGTACTTTAAATGATTTCTGTAAAAATTAAACGTATTTTCTGTAAAAACCTACTGTTGAAATGTTTTGTGTAAAATGTTGGAGTAAAATGTTTTCTGAAAAAAGTTAGGTGCTGAACTAAATTGTTCGAGAAAGTCTGTGCTATTTTGTAATCACTAGTTTAAAGTATTTTTTACGTCATTAATATTTTATATAGGGCGTTTTTATACATTAGTGATTTTTTTAGTAAAAGTATTTTAAATTATTTCTTATGAAAAAATGCGAATATTCAAAGTATTGTGTGAAAATGAACTCAAAATTGCGCAATTTTAGAATGGATCTTAAGACAATTTCTCAGAAACTGTCTCGATTATTTGTCTTTGAACTCTAGGCTTGGATAATGCAAAATGCACTGAATAGCCTGACAAACGACAATGAACACTTGCGCTTCGTCTCACATTTAACCCTTTCGCAAAACTTCAACGTTTAACACACTCTGCATACTCTTTAAGGGGCTCTCTAAACAGAATATTTACTTCGCAAGAGTAAAGAATACTTTCAGGTACTAATGTCTAACATGAACTTTCTATGCATGTTCTGATCTCCTGAATACTCAAATTTTCATTGAAAAATGTTACAATATGACGGAATTATTACATAATTTGAGGCAAATTTAAGAAACCCTTGTATCTAACGCGCAAACATAAATTCACAAAATATAAAAAGATAACATCGCAATGATATTCATCACATTTTGCTCTACAAGAATTTCAATTCTTCTAAGACGTTTTGAGCCGGAAATCTGAATTCAAATATTTCAGACTCAAACGATCCACTTCAACAGAGAAAGCCGGAACGATTGGAAACACCCTTCGTGGTATCGAAAGAAATATAACTTTTAAAGTCACTTTCTTCGTATGGTTCATACGATGACTATTATCGTGTAATACTTTAAATTTTGAACGTGACCCTTGTCTGAATTAGTGTTTTTCCGTTTCTTTAGATTGACAGAGGAAAAGCTGATTTTCACTTTGGGTCAATAAATTTAAATTCTAGTTATCAAGTGTGTAGTTCTTATGATCGAGGCACCATGTCTTTCGCAGCTTTGCGTCGGCTTCCGTTATGATGGGCTTCGCAATTCAAGCCTATACATAATGTTGGCTTTGTTTAGCCATACTGAGGAAACAGTCTGTTACTTAAGTGTTGAGTTCTATAATCACTCTTGCCGCGGTAGTTTCACATTGTCTGTCCTTTAATGCTTCTCTCTGTTAGTTGACTTCACCTTTCGCCTACTATTCCTCTTCGTCGATGGCATTTTATTAGTTTTGTGTACGCTGTCATTGCTATGGAAACTCTCGCTCGTGAAACGTTAAGCAGTTCGGCTGTTTTCGTCACAGACGCTCTCGCTTACTACATACCAACGATTTGCCCTTTTTCAAAGCCAGAGAGATCACACATTTCATCGCGTGTGTCGCAGACAAAGACCTGTAATACACTACAATTTAACCTTCACAACGTGGCACGTCAAATTTTACACTGTAGCCACATCGCAAAGTTTACTCATCCGTAGTGGCGTCAACATGCAAAAAGATGTTCCACATTTCATGGTGATCATATTATTTTGTTCAATTCCAACTCCTGTATAATTATAACATGCTCATTAATTTGCAACGCATTTTTTTATTGTTAGATTTATATTTTTAATGATTAAATGTATGCTGCCTGAAACCGTTAAGGAAACTCGGCAATTTGTTCATAATAGTTTAAAAAAATGAAAATTACAACGGCCTTCATAAAATCAAACTACAAAATTCAGGACTTAGTAAGATAATTCATTACGGAACAGTATACAATAAAGATCCACTTTCTGTGTATGTTTGAAATGGAACGCGGAAAAACTATAATAATTATGCAATTTATAAGGAATTGCGATAAGAAAGCTAAACAAAAGAATCCGGAAGATTTTAAAATATTTTACTTTGTATTATGATAATATGGTATTTCTACCTCGAGATGTCGGATATGTTATTTCCTATATACGCCGCCGGGAGTCGCAGAGCGCCAGTTGATCCAAGATTCCCCTTTTGGAGCGCAATAAGCAGTGAGTTAGTAACGGAATTCAGAGGAAAATTATGTATGAATATTATGATAATTAATGATATATTTTAATCTTGCGAATGGTAGGCCTTTTCCCAATGACGCAAGCGCAACGGAGAAGAATACAAGGATGCGAGGGGCGAGGAAGAGCAGTCGATTCTGGGCTCCGAAATGCCTCCGACCTAACTCCACGAGTTGCTCTCGCAACTGATTGCGGACGCGGAGGCTCAGGCATTCGGTGCAGCGCGCGTCAGCTGGCGCGAGGGACGGAGGGGTGAGGGAGGGCCGAGGGAGGGCCGGGGAGGGGAGGAGCAGAGGCGGAGGGGAGGGGGCAGAAGGGCGGGGGAGAGCGGGAGGCAGAAAGGGGCCGGGAGGGCAGAAGAGGTTGGGGAGGAGAGGCGGAACGTGCGGGGAGGGGGGGAGGGCGGAAGGTTGGGGGAGGAGGGCGATGGGAGAGTGGCGGAAGGAGGGGAGGGAGGAGGAAAGGGAAAAGAGGAGGAGGGAGAGGAGGTGAGGGGTAGGGCCCGAGGGTTTTTGTGGAGGGGGCGGGAGTGGCGGACGTGGAGTTGAGGGCCGTGGGAGGGGAGGAGGGAAGGAGGAGAGGGAGTGAGGAGGCGAGGTGGGGAGGGAGGGGATTTGCGGGGTAGGGTGATGGTTGGAGACAGGGTGGAGGGCGGGCGCGGGTTGAGGAGGAGGCGAGGGTGTAAGGAGCGAGGGTGAGGGGTTATCGCAGCAGGCCATTTGGCAAGGCGCCCTCCCCTCCTGTTCGGCGGGCGGCGGGTGTGGCTAATTTTGCGCCCACGGTTTATTATTAGCGCTAATGGTTAGTGAAGTGGCCACTCGCCTTGCTCTCGAGATGTCCCTTTGTCTTTCCAGGTAGCCACTAGCGCCAGCACAACCAGAAGCACAAAGCAGCCGCTGAAAAGTAGAAAATTGGGATCATCGTACGAACACTCAACCGCTGCAGTGTCTGTATAAGTTGTCCTACAGCGCACAGTAGTACAGTACTGGTTGCGACTGATTCTTCTAGTTATGTTAGATCTGGCAATGTCTGACGTAGAAAATAACATGTTGTGTATAACTTTTACGTTAATATCAGTGAGACTTGAAATCAAATTATTAAATGAAACATCACACTTATTGTGACAGTCTAAAATCGATGTAAATAAAACACTAAGGTTCTTCGTTTAGAAAAACATAGGACGTTTATGCCGAACCAAACCTCATAATTGTTTTAAATCATAGGATGTAGTCTCTAGTGTTTTTACACACTCTTATTGACGTATTTTATAGTATACAGACTTATATTTAACAATATCATAAAATAAATTAAATGGATGTCAATTTGCCGTCAATTGTCATTACTTCATTTTCAATGATTGATTGAAGTGCAGTGCATGATTTTATCAAGCAAGGTGACTGTGATTTTCCCCCGCAGGAAGGTGAGATACGGCGCCGATTTGCACATTCTTTAGTTTACCAAGTGTAATTCTATTGATTGATTAGTGATTCCGGGTTCGTCACAAAGGTGGTGACCATTGCTCCCGTAAGTGTAGTGATTCTTCATCGCGGGAGGTGACGGTAATCTTCCCCTGTTGGATGGCAAGATCCGGCGAGTGTCTACGAGTCAAGTCAAGGAAGTTCACCAACAAGAGAGACTCAAACAAGCTCCCCACTGGTCTCCTGCCATATGTGGTAGTGTAGTGCATGTCAGAGTATACAACACGTTTCAAAAATGGGAGGCGTAATTTCATTTGTCCAGTAATGCTTCACTTTCGAGTTACGGCCTTGACAACGCGGAAATTCACCGGAACGCTTTTCCTTCTGTAGGTCTTCGCTGCGGAAAGAGCCATTAACACTCTGACAATTAGTTTCCACAGCGAAAGTTACATTCACTGTTGTGTTTGGCATTCGACTGTGCGTCCTGTACT